CCATTTCGGGGTCGGAGTAGGCAAGGTTCGGCGCCACCTGCGTGGTCGCATGCCTCCTTCCGTTGATTTGGTTCAAGACGTCAGGCAGCATGAGGTGCCACTGGCCCCGCCGCCCCGCTCCGGCTGCTATGCGACGCAACATGGCCTCCTTGATGGTTCGGATGGTGCGCTCTGCAAAGTAAGCGTGGCCCCTGGTCACCTCTCGATGTTCCAGAAATCCATCAGCTCCTTGAACTCCCTCTTGAACTCGGAGCCGTCGTCGAGTCGTCGGAGTACACGTTGGCCGGCACCCCCAGGGTTTGGAACACCTTCTTCATGCCCGCCGCGGTGGTGGTCGCAAGACGGTCCTTCAGCGCCCACTTTTTTGCCTTCATGTCGGCCAGGTCCACCTGCAGCTGGTTCATGGGCTCCAGAGGCACGAAGCTGTTGTAAGCCTTTCTGTCGTAGACGGCCTTGATGGTTCGTCTGCGGGCTTCCACCTCGTCCAGCCGGGCCTGGAAGCCCTTGCACACCCCCCAAAGCACGCTGGTGAGGTGCGAGTAGTCGAGGGTGACCATCTCCGTGCCGTCGCTCCACCGGGCGGTGCCCGTCAAATTCTTCCACTTCGCTCCTGAGAAGTCGTTTGAGGCGAAGCCCAGCCTCAGGTCGCCGTTCATGTCCGGGCGCTTGTACTGCTTGGCCTGCGCGGAGTCGAAGAGCTCAAGCAGCTCTGCCACGTCGGCCTCGGCCATCTCAGCGGGATGGAACTTGCCTGCTTTTCCGGGCAGAAAACGGAAATCGAGAGCTGCGAGAGCGTCTGGAGCTGTTTTCGACCGAATCTAGAGGCTGAGACATTTCGCTTGCCGTCTGACAGGAAAACAAACTTTTCGGAGTTGGCCGTTTTGAGCATCGGAAAAACGGCTGTTTTGCAGGGTTTTTCGACCCAAAAACGAAAATAATTAGGGTAGTATAAGCTGATGTTCCTTACTACTACTCCCTGCTGCTCGGGCCTGCCGGGCACCGGGAAGACGCACCTGGCCCGACGGTTCACCTGGTCTCGAAGACGCACTGCTCGGCAGAACCTGGCGCTGGGGGCGCAGACGGCCGACCACTGGGTGCGCGGTACGTGCGCGGGGCGGCTGGACTGGCTGGTCGTGCCACGTGTGTGATTTCAGCCACCCAGCAACGTGTGTGGCTGGTTTGGTGGTACCTTTGCAGTCATAGGGCAGCTCTCACATAACCCGGTCGCTGTGTTCCTTTTTACTGTCAATGTTGTGTGTATGTGAGTTGGAGGGGTGCCAAGGCAAGGGCAGCGGTTTGGGGCCGCCTACCTTTTGAGACAACACATGCAGAAGCGGCACAGCGACAACCCAAGGGCGGTCACCAAGAGCAAGGAGCTCGAGGGCCAAGGCCGTCGAGCTGATGGGGCTGCTGGGCAAGCTCGGCGACAAGACCTTCCCGGCCAGGATCCTTAAGTACGTTGGCCTGCGGTCCAAGATGTACAGCGTTCTCACCGTCCAGCCCAACGGCTCGGAGAAGGAGAAGCGCAAGATCAATGGAGCCCAAGAAGGCCTGTGGGACGTCCGGAATCTTGAGTACAGGGAGGTGCTGCAAAAAAGAGCAGCGGGGCGACCTTTGCTGCGCAGCCGCGGGCACCAGATCGGCGTGGAGACCGTCGAGCGCACGGCCCGGCTTAGAGCCCCCATGATGTTGGTCCGGTGGCTGAGCCGCTGTGGGCCTGACGAGCACGACGGACGCGCAAAAAGCGCAAGAACGATTGTATTATAGAGCGGTGGGCAATTTTGGCTTTTGCTGTCAGTCCGCCTAAGCCCGTTCGAAAAGATCAAGCAATGGCGTCCTCGGGCCTTCCGGTGCGTGCAGGCCTGGTTTGTGGAGAAACCCGCTGTGTGGGTGGGCAAGGGCGCCCCCGACCTCGCATCCGCTCTGATGGTGCAGCGGGCTCCCTGCAAGCGTCCTCGCTGGTTCGAGGCGAATGAAGGTTGGCGCGGGCATGATCAGAACCCACGGAGGCCTGCCCCAGCCCAATCAGGATGAGCTCGAGGAGTGGCGGGCCGACGTCGACGCCGGCAATGTCTGCGCAACAGAACAGCGAGTACAATAGTGGTCTGATTAGAAGGGGCTATTTTGGCTTGCGCGAGTCCGCCGTTCCGGTGCGTGCAGGCCTGGCTTCAGGAGAAGCCCGCGGTGTGGGTGGGCGAGGACCTTCCACCTTGATGGTGCAAAAATGTGCTGCGCGAGGCCGAGCGCTTGCACCAGCAACGTCGAATCGAACTCCTGAAGCAGCTGGGCGAGAGCAAAGAGCGTGAGAAGGTGCTCGAGACGTCCCAGCAAATTGCCCAAGAGATACGCAGAGTTTCTTGCGGTTCTTTCCCGCTCGAGCAGAGTTCGAGGCGGATGAAGAGTGGTGCGGGCTGTACGACGAAGTGGCAGGCCGACGTTGGCTCTAACAATCTCTTTTCCGACCACCCCTCCAAGCCGAACCTGGCCCCCATTTCCCCACTCTCAATGGAGGCGACCCTGTAAACCCTTTTGCTGCAGGCTATCTTGTTGACCTTGTAGGAGCCCCTGCTTTCGATCGGCCTGATCCTAACCATGTCCCCGACCTTGATTTCTGGGCTGGCTTCTGGCTTCGGTTTGGCTTGGCTGGCTTCTGGCTGGCTTCTGGTTGGCTTCTGGCTTCGGCTTGTGGCTTTTGGCTGGCTTCTGGCTGGTTGTGGTTGGCTTGGACCCGTTTTTGCCAGCTGCGACTGGACGGACGAGTGTGGGATTGCCACATGTTTGCGATTGCTCGCGGTCAGGGATATTCATGGAGGTAGGACCCAGCCCAAGTTTGGGCCTGAATGACTTTATGGGCATGCTGCGTCAGCTTTCGTTTATAAACGGCTCTCAGAAAGTGTGGTGTCTGTAGTTGGACCCGTCCCGTCCACTGGAACCCTGTCAAACTCTGGTCCAAGTTGATCCACTCGATTCAGTTGGTCTTGTTGAACTCATTTGGTCCAGTTGAGTACCAGCTGGAGTTGTTATTTGGGCTGCAAATGGCTAAGCGCACCCTAGGTGACCCACTTCCGACAAGTCCAAATCCACTTCAGTGTCCACTTTCTAAGTGGGGCCGAGCACCCGCTCACCAACCAGACTGCGTTGGCAGTCACAAGCAGGGTTGTGGGAATGAGGCTGAACAAGGAATAAACGGGTTCTAACAAACGCGCTCCGTCATGTGTGTAGCATCCGGAAAAAACAAAAAAAAACACCAAAAAAAACACATTTTTTTGCTAGAATCCATTCATCACCCAACACTTCGGGCTGTTTTAATCTCAACGAAGTAAACTCTGTGCATTTCAGCGCCTCACCCCTGACACATTCGAGCAGTAGGGAACCCCCGCCCGCGGCACACAGGTTGGCACCTTGGATCGTTTTGTCCACGTCTGAGAGGGGCTGGGGTTTTGCATCAGAAAGCTGGGTTTACGCCGCAGCTGTTTCGAGCCTCCCTGATTTTGCGGGGATGGTGTCATCAATGCCCTGAAGGCCAGCGTCTTCGAAGGCCATGGAAGTTTTGATGTATGGTGACGTATCTGGGTGTTCCTTTTTCGAGGGTACCCCTTTCTTGTGGTTTGGAAGGAAAACCAAAAGGAAAACCAAAAGGGAAACCAAAAGGGAAACTCGGTGGCATGTTGGAGGTTTTCTAAAAAAGGGACACACCCACATCGAGCCCTGGACCCCGCCCCTTTTGAGCACTTAACAGGGAACCAGTCCCAGGGGGGGGAGAAGGTGTGCCCCCACCCAGATTGTTTGTCTGTAGGGTGGTTTTAGACCAGGATTTTTTGGGTTCACAAGCGGTGGCATTTCCTTTAAATCCACCCCAACAAAGGTACTCTCAAGCAAGCAAGCAAGCAAGCAAGCAAGCAAGCAAGCAAGCAAGCAAGCAAGCAAGCAAGCAAGCAAGCAAGCAAGCAAGCAAGCAAGCAAGCAAGCAAGCAAGCAAGCAAGCAAGCAAGCAAGCAAGCAAGCAAGCAAGCAAACAAGCAAGCAAGCAAGCAAGCAAGCAAGCAACCAAACAAACAAACAAATAAACCAAAAATCAACACACACACACACACACATGTACTCTTTGGCAAGAGTTTTGGAACTCACTTTGGTTGCTGCAAGGAAATTAGTACTTTGGGTAAGCCGAGTTTCGAGCTCCGCCCTGCCGCTCGTGAAGTCTTGAAGTCTGCCAGACTTTTGCCAAGTTTGTTTGATCTTTAGAATGGCAAACGGAGTGACAAGCTCAGCCTTCGCACCTCAGGCTTGCAGTACAGGAATTCGGTGTCCCATGGGCAAGCATCCCTTTGGCTTTCCTTTGTCAAGTAAGTGGCGACTTTTTGCAGTATCGAATTGGTAGGAATTGGTAGGATGTGGCTGGTTGCCTTTGTCACTCCTTACGTTTGGTTCCTTTGTGGTTTCCAGCACAGTCCGTCAAAGGTCCGATTTGGAAGGACGTAGCTGATGCTTCTTTCGGGAAAGCTTCTTTCGGGAAATCCTGGCGGCGATGGGCGAACGCCTCCCGTTTTTCTGCTTGGGATTTCAGAAGCTTGGGGACATTGACCTGTTTTGAGTCTTGCATCTGGAGAGTTCAAGCCTGCAGACAGGTCCCTTCACGTTCAACAAGGGGCCCAAGAGCGAAACCCCAGCTTTCCGCCCCGTTTTTTTCTTCCCCCTGTTTTTTTCTTTGCGGAGAGGGGCCAAGCTTACGTATGCAAACAAACCCCCTTGGCACCACAATCATTGGTCGCCAATTTTCTTGGTGACTGTCCTTTGGGCAGTGATATTCCATCAATTCGGGAGGAAATGATATCCGTTGGTAAGCCCAGGAACACCCGCAACCCGAACAGGTTTTGCCCCAAAGAAGGTTCCATAAGAATTCTGAGTTCTTGATAGCTTGTGGGGTTCCACGAGAGCTTCGGGAGAACGCGGGCCATCGGATGGTGATTCCAGTGACTGGTGTCCTGTCAGGACTTCCGGCGATGCGTTGCGAGCTTGGCCTTGGGGGGGGGGGGTGGTACTGGGTGTGCCTCACTGTTCTTCTTTTTTCTCGTCCTCTCAAACACGGAATCTGACAGGGGGCTCCTGGAAGACTTTTTTGTTTTGCCAGGCACCTTCCGGTGCATTCCGTGTTTGTTAATGAACACATTTGTGTCTTAGGGGGCTTTCTTCAGGGGGAGGTGAGTGGGTTTGGATGGTAGTTGAGTGTTCCTCACCGCTCGTTTTTCAACGTATGTGATACATAGATTGTTGGTTTAGCGTTTTGAAAGTATCTTGCTTTTGGAGGGGGCTGCACCACACACGCAAGATCGGGAAGTGTTGATGTATTTGGGCGCTGAATAGCCCACAGGTTTTTGCTGATTTTCCCGAAAGGAAACAGCCAGCAGATTACTCGTTTGATTTTGGAACCTCCTTAGCACCTAGGTTTTTCCAGAGGAATAACAATACCAATATTGGAGCTCAGTCAGAGCTTTCCGATGAGCGCACGAGGAACCCTCGGGATGGTGTGGACAGCATTCTCCCGACCTGACCTCAAGCATTTCTTTACAAAAGTGATTTCAAGAGTGGTGAAAAACGCGAAAAACCATGAATCAAACCAGGGTTGAATCGCCCCCCTTGTTCCCGCGTTTTGGAGCACCATTTCACCACAGGTTGCGAAGTTAAAGATTTGATATCATTTTGCCACCACAAGGTCTTGGACCTAAACAGGTGAACAGGGTCCGCCCAAAACCGTGTTCCCGGCCGCTCGCTCCGCTTTGATCGCGTGAGGTCCTACTTTTGCCTATGCGAGGCGGGGTTGACCGGAGTGTTGGGCCAGTCGGTGCAATTTTTCAGGGAAGAAGAGGATATTGTCTTTTCGCAAGTTAAACCAGGTTTGGAGTGGTTGTTTAAACCGAGATGGAACAGAAGCCAGAAGGCCTAAAATCAATGCGTCAGTAGCCTTCTGACCTCAAGGAAAGGCATGATATTTCCCACATGGGGAAAATTAACCATGGCAAAAACTGGGGGGGGGGGGGGCTGAAATGGAATTTTCTTCAATCCCCACCCACTGAATGTCGGACAAAGTAGGTGTCTCTTGAGGCGGTGCAGGGGGCTTCGCTTGCTTAGGCCTGGCCAGCCAGTGCCCGAGCCTCAGTAAACTCGCTGGGGAATGAATTTGAATGGGGAACGCCCTGAAAAAGCTTGGTGGACACTAACAACAAACATGCAACTGATGTTCGCCAGAAGGTCCCCCATCTAAAGCCACACCCACTTTGGAAGCTTAGTTTCAGATTGAACAGATCGCTCGTTGATTCCGTCAGGCCAATCTTGTTTCTATGACCACTCTGGTGAACTCATTTGAATGAGTCAGAGGAGGTTGGTCTTTTCTTGGGTGAGCTGCTAAGTGAGCGGACACTTGCAGGTTCAGCTGAAGGTACCACACGAACCGAGGGACTCTCTGGATCTTACCCATGTCCACCGAGTTTTTCCCGGGTCTGCACATCCGGTGAACCTCAGGGCGGCGCCCAAAGGCTCCGCTGGCAGGCTGGATGCCACGTGAGGTCAAGCTGAAGCCATACCCTTTGTGGGTTAGATGTAAATCCTCCTTTTTGTTAGATCTGTGTTTCGAGCTCGCACGGAAATTCCCTGGATACCAACCAACTACGATTTCAAGAAGCATCCAATGTGGTGAAGCTGCTAGGTGGCTTGTTGGAACAAGGAGGGTGGTGTCTCCAAATGAGGCGAGTCTCGAAAATCGCCATGGCAACCCGCAACATTGCCGGCAAAGCTGCCCAAAGGAGAACTCAGTCTACATGCATCAGCGCCAAAAACCCGCATTGGCCAGTTTAGTTGGTGGTTCTTCTATCTGAAGGATGCGAAAGGCCTATTTTTGAGGGACCAAAAGGAAAACCGCCATTCGGGAGATCCCCTACCCCTGGCAAGGCCTACATAATCTTTCGTCCCCATCTGAGAACCAAAGGCGCTGTGGGAACTTGCAGGCCAGCCGGGGACGCCTACGCCGAGCCCGGGGCCCTTGGCGCAGCTCGGAGAGGGCGGACCCAGCGTTCTCTGGCCAAAGTCGCCAGCAAATTTGGCGGGTTTGGCTTGACTTCTTTGTTAATGTTGAAACGCATGTGGAAACATGAACTGTGTTTGAAATGCTTGACCATAATGGCCCCGGCCATTTTGGCTCAAGCTGGGATCTTGGGTTCTCTGAACCCAACTTTGTGTGAAAATTTAGGGGAATCACTTCCGAACCAACCCCGAACAAGCAATGGCCTCCTCGGCGACTTCGGCAACTTCCTTCGAGTTGATTGAGGACCAGGCACTCACCGCGGAGGAGGTGGAAATGGCCAGCCAGGAGGCCCAGGAAGTCCGCACACGCGAGGCGGCTGTGGCGGCCGGCCTGGTGTTGAATGAGCCCGAGGCGCCCCCGGCGGCATCGGCCACCGATGTGATGAACGACCTCTCCAGTGCACTGGAGCGGCTCCGTGTGGCCTTCTCCACACCGACTCCCGGCCTGGGTGCCTCTGGCCCCGCCGAGGACGAGGACAAGGAGATGAGCGATGCGGACACCACGGAGCGGGCTACTCCACCAACGAAGAGGCTGAAGGGCTTCGTGGCGGCCTCCCAGAAGACCACGGCCCCGGTGAACAAACCGGTCTCCCTGGTGCCGGTGGATGGCCGTCCTGGCTATTTCAAGCTAGTGGACCTCCCAGACCTCTTCCCGGTTCTTCCGGCATCGGCGGCCACGTTGCTGAGGGACGTCACGGTGGAGGAGGCGGTCTCCCTGTTCCACAAGTTTGTCGGTAAGAATCTCACGGAGGACTTGGTGGTTCGCATCCTGGAGGCCTATGTTCCGATGAAGATCCAGATCCGGCAGGAGGAGGTCTGGGCCTCACAGTTCCAGCGGAATAAGGCATGCATTGGCACCCAGCGGATGCACAGACTCGATGCCGGCCACTCCGACTACAAATTCATGTGTAAGGCATGCGGCACGGGGTGGCCGGAGGCAGCCAATCAATGCTGGGTCTGCCCGGGCAAGGAGTTTGTCCCCTTCCAGGCACCCTCTGCTACCTACGAGGCGGACGGCGTCACGTACCACCTGCTCATTGTGGAGGGCAAGCCGACCTGGATCCAGCAGCGGGATGGGGGAAGCCTGGGTGCCGCTGGCCCCGGTGGTACCCGGGCGCAGGCAGACCGCAACCTGGTGGACGGCACGATCCTGGGGAGAGCTCCTCCGAAAACGGACACGGCAGAGGAGATCACCATGGCTGACGTGGTCCCGCTTAACAGGCGGGTGGATATCCGGCAGGAGATCCTGTCCATGGAGGCGGACGATGAGGCGTTGAAGGTCCGGGAGCGCCAGGAGGTCAAGGTCAAGGTGCAGCGGTCCCTGCAGGAGGCAGAGGCTCAGAGCTTCCAGCTCTACCACCCCCAGGTGGACCAGGTGATTCGGAAGAAGGAAGAGTTGCACAACGCCTTGAGGGAGCACCGGGAACCGACCTCGGAGGAGTCCTCGGCCAGGCAGCGGCACAAGGAGTTGGTCACGGATGAGATGCTTGACAATGAGATGGCAATCCTGGCGCCTCTCCAGGAGGGCATGCAGGCCCTGCCGGCAGAGGAGGTGGGCAATGAGGGAGCCCGGGCCCTCAGGAAGGTCAACCTGGAGCGATTCGAGATCAGTACCTGGAGGGTAAGGGTGTCGACGCCAGCCAGGCACTGGCTGATGCGATGGGCTCCATTCAGGAGGCGCAGGAGGCGAACAAGCGCACCCAGGACACCAACCAGGCATGGATGCTTAACCACACCCTCCAGCCCTTGGAGGTGTCGGCATGGCCAGATGCTCGCCAGCTGGAGGATGCTTACGTGGCCATCCATGGAACCCCGAAGCCGAGGTTGGAGTTCCAAGGGAGTGATGGCTACCTCAAGAAGCAGTGGCGTTTGATTGCCAAGGGTGAGCTGGGCTACATCCCGGCAAAACACATCGTGAGCGCGCTCCCGGAAGAAGGGGAACGCCCCTCATCCACCCATAAGAAGATCACGGTGGACGGCTGGGACAGGGAGGATCCACATCTCGGCGCCAGTTGGAACGTTTGCACCAAACTTTCAGGACGACGCTCCTGATGTGCACGGCGGCGCTGCCACAGTTTGGCAACCTGAAGGTCACCAAGGCGGAGCTGGACGATTGGTATGACTGGTTCTATGGGGAGGACATCGCTGGCAGAAGGCCTCCCCCGAGTGACACCACCTTGCTGTTTGCAGAGCGCAACGCGTGGAGGAAGATCCACGAGATGGTGCACCAGGGCACCACCCTCTCCGATGCCCTCAAGAATATCAGGGGCGACTTCCTCTTCTGGCAACGAGAGGGTGCTCAACAGGGCGCCGGAGAAGGGGAAGAACAAGGGCAAGGCACCTAAGGTGTGGCAGACTCAGTGGGAGAAGCCGAAGAAGGGGGGGAAAGGCGCCTGGCCCTGGGGGCCGACCCGGTCCAAGCCGAAGGGCAAGGGCGGCAAGGGGAAGTCCCCCAACTCCCCCTCAGTTCCATGTGGGCTTTCAAGAATCCCAAAGGGGTGGCGTACTGCAGAGATCATCTCCTCCACGGCAAGTGCTCGGGATCGTGCAGCCGTTCCCACAACTGCCGGGTCAGGAAGGATGGGTGGCCCCCCCATCGAAGCATTCGCTACAGGCATGCCGACAGGAGGCCACCCAGGGTGCCATAGGCCCCGTGGCTTCCCAGTCTCAGTTGGGATCACAGGCCACCAGTGCGAGAGTGCACACAGAGGGGGAGAGCCAGCCCCACCAGAGCCACAGCGGAAGGCAGACAGAGCGGGGGAGGCCAGGACGGCCTCAGATGGGGGGGGGACTTCTCCAGGGTGCCACCGGCCCCGGAAGCCCCTCCACCGAAGAAGAGGAGCGGTCCCAGCCAGGGCACTCCAGAAGGGCGGAAGCATCCGCACCCACCGAGGCAGTGGGAAGACCCCCCAGGGCGGGAAGAACCGCCAGGGCAAGCATCAAGCCGGGGACTGATGACGGGCGGATCAGACAAAGGTCACACGGAATCCCTAGAAAGGCAAGCCCCACCTTCCCATGGATGCAGGACATCCCGGAAAGACTGAGGCTCAGACTGAGGTGGACGCCAGTGCCGGGGTCTTCAAAGCCGTCATCCTGCTGTACGCGGGGAAGGATGATGCGGGGGCCCTGGATGCCTACCTCCATGCCTACAACCCGGCCTTCTCGGAGTACATTTGGGCGGTGGATCTCAGGAGAAAGGGCGGTGACCTGGGCCAGGACATGCTGGGAGGAGCCTTACTCAACGATGTGCTCCATGGCCATGGCGGGCAAGGTCGCATTGGTGGGAGGTGGCCCCAACTGTAGGACGTGGAGATTTTCAGGTGGTTCCCCAAACCGGGTGGCCCGCCGCCGGTGAGGGGCAGAGCAGAGCAGACCTTGTGGGGCTTAGAGGACTTGGAGCCCCGGGTTATGGAGGACACGGACAATGACAGCGTGCTCATGCTCCGTCAGATGTACCTGACCTCGCTGGCCTACAAGGGGCTGGGTCAGCTGACGGTCCCGCAGGTTGGCTCCTCTTTCCTGGAGCACCCCCGATGGAGTGCAGCGAGATGCTCATCGATCTGGGTCACGCGGGCCTACGTTCAATGGGCGAGGGCACTCCACCACTCCCTCATCAAGTTTGATGAGTGCCGCCTGGGCCAGGTGGTTGTGAAGTCCACGGCATTGTCAACGGACCTTCCTCTCCACCATTGGCATGACCTGCGTTGCAACCACGGGTCGCACCCCAGGGGAGAAAAGCTCAACTCCAGTGACCTCAGCCGGTACCCGGAGCAGATGATGCAGGGTCTAGCAGCGGCCATCCTTTGCCGAGCGGGACCCGTCCTGGAGGCGCTGAGGCCGGGGGGCATGGCGCCCCAGGCTAACCCAACGACCCCCCGAGGCGTCCAAGGGAGCCTTCTCCCAGCGGGGGACAACAAGCGCCAGTCCCGGAGGCTGAAGGCGGGCCAACAAGCGTTGGCAGGTCTGACCTTGGGCTCACTTCCGGTCTCGGCCTCGGACGCTCCAGAGGCTGGGACATCGACACAGAGGACTGGCGAGGTGGAGGAACTTGGGGGGGGAACTCTTTCCCTGGATTCATGGGCACACCAGGGCATGGAGATTTCGGATCGGCCTACCATCCTGCCGATCACTCACGACCCCAATATCTCCGACAAGGTCATGTACCTCCAGATGGCTTTCAAGCAGCGTCCCTTAAGAGACGGTGGAGGAAAGCCCTCATTGGGACGGCCCGACCGCTGTGTCCTCACTTCGCCGTGGGGGGACAAGCTCCAGGAGTCGCTCTCGTTGGGGGAGGGGTCACATCCCTTCCCGGAGGACCTGCTGGAGGACATCAGGGAGATTCTGGCGCCGGGGGCAGACCAGCGGACGGCCAACCCTTCTTCCTGGACATTGCACAGCGTGGCTCTGAACATTCAGGACCCCGACCACCAGTTTCCCCGGAACCTGGAACAAGGGGTCCCGCTGGGGGTCACGGACCCGCCCCTGACCTCGCCGGGCATCTGGCCACTCAAGAAGGAGCTGAAGGGGGAGGAACCGGAGTTCCAGGAACTCCCCCACCCAACGGGCAGGGGTAACTACCCCTCGGCGGATCACTTCAGCGAGCTCATCCGGCCCATGGGCATGGTGGAGGGCCCCTTCAGTAAGGAGGCGGCAGCATCGCGATGTGGCTGCGACAGCGAGGACCTTTGTCCCGGCCCCCTGGCGGGAATCGACGAGGGGGACAAGATCCGCACGATCTACGATGGCTCGGTGGGAGGGGCCAATGACACCATCAGGAACCAGACGGTGGAGAGGACGACGGCTCCGACGGTGTTGGATGGGGTCCAAGCTCTCCATTGGCTACATGCGGCAGCCAAGGAGGGACCCCCCTCTCAGGGTGCCTCTGGCCCCGAGGGGGGGACCTGGGGGCTGGCTCTGGCCGGAGCCGGGCGCCAGGTGGGTGCTGCTCAAGGCGGACGTCACCAAGGCCCACCGGAGAGTGAAGGTCCTCAGGAAGGACTGGCGGTTCCAGGTGGCCTCACTGGGGGAAGAATGGTGGGTGAACAAGGTAGGCACATATGGCATGGCTAGTGCCCAATCCTACTGGGGACGCCTAGCAGCCCTTCTGCTCAGGGTCCTCTACGCGCTTTTCCCTCAAGTGGATTGGAACTTCGTCTTCGTCGACGACTTCCTGTGGCTGCTTCGAAGCGAGGGGGCAGTGAACTTGGCGGTGGCGCTGCTGGCCACACTCCTGGCATTGGGCACCCCACTTAGCTGGAAGAAGACGCACTTGGCGGAGGTTAACACGTGGCTGGGCTTCGTGGTCCACCCGAACATCCCGCAGGTTCTCATGGCGGCCAACAAACACATCCTGGTTATGGAGGTTTTACAGACCATGGTGGAAGGGCAGGCGATGCACTCGAAGGACATCGAGAAGGCCCTGGGCCGCATCCAATGGGCAACGGCCGCATGTCCGCTGGCGAAATCGATGCTCCAGCCACTTTGGGCCTGGAAGATGGCCACCACCACGGTGGGGAAACCCCCTAAGGTGGTCAGGATGCTGGCGTTCATGCTGCGGTTCCTCTTCAACACGCCTTTCGTCCAGTACTCCCCCTACTTGCCGAAGTCCTCCTGGTGGGGTTGCAGCGACGCTAGCGCCTCGGACGACGGACTGGCATTTGTGGGAGGTTGGTGCTCCAACACGGTGGAACCGGACAAGAAGGAGGTGTACTGGTTCCATGAGCAGATCCATGTGGAGGAGTACCCTTGGGCTTTCAAGAATGGGGATCCAAAGCGGAGGATTGCAGCTCTGGAGATGCTGGGCACGCTCTTCCTCTGTAACATGATCCTCACGCACCAAGGCCCTCTGTCCTCCCGGGTCCGACTCCCGGTGGGCAGTGACAATCAGGGCAACGTCATGGCGATGCTCAACCTTGGCTCCAAGAAGCCCTACACGGCGGCGATCCTGATGGAGCTGGTCTTCCTGCTCCACACCCATGGCTGCTCGCTGGCGGCCAACCATGTGCCCCGTGAATTCAATCAATGGGCTGATGAGCTGACGCACCCAGACTTCTCTGGGTTTGACCCTTTGCAAAGGGTCCCCAAGCAGGAACTTTGTGAGGAGTTTGTTTTTCTCCCGCGTCTCCGGAATGGAGATGCATTTGATCTCAGCGTGGACCCACCCATGCTCCCGTGACCGGAGCCGGTGGGTGACTCACTTCCCCTGGTGGCAGACCCCAATGTGGCCTGGGTGCCACGGGCCCCGGCTCAGGGGCGGGCGCTATCAGTCTGCACACCCGTTCTTCAGTTTTTGAGAATTGTGAGTTGGGTGGCCCATGAAACCCACCCAGCGTTGGTCATCTGACAGGGGAAGATGAGTCCCTGGCACCAACACACTGCTCGGATGAAAGAGTTATCGCGTGCTCGTGTGTGGTGCCGTTTGGTTAGCTTGCATACACTTGCCTTTTTTTTGTGTACGCACCAGGGATTTCGTGTAACGGAAGCCTACTTTGAAGCCGTGGAAAGGTAGAGATTTATTGGCGATGGTCTCGACTCAAACCAAGTAAGCGGGGCGGCAACTGGACCATGTGTATGTTGTGGATATCTTGTGTTTTTCGGGAGGGATGAAGAGACCTGAGTTGATTAATAACCCCTTTTTGATTTTGATTGCAGGTTTTGGAAGGATCCATGATCCGGATCAGCACACAACAAAACGCCTGCTGGGCATCTTTGTTGTGTTCTCAGGGGACCAATGGTTTGTTTACTTGCCGGTTTTTTGGCGGTGGAGGTGGGGCCGTTTTGATGTCAGATGTTTTGCATACTGAGCCTTGGGGTCGAGAATGCTCATGGATCACATGGTTCGACGGCCAGCATCATGCTCACGGCAACCAGAGGAGGACGTTTTGAGCATGGCACAGAAAAATGTGGGCGGTTGTCATGGTGCGTTGCACCAATGGCTGCTCAGATGTGCCATGAATGACTGTTGGACTCAGGTTCGCCCTGTTTGTTTTCCCGTTTTCCCCCTGCTTTCCCACCATAGGTGTTCTGTTGGGTTGATGTGGTCGAAAAATAATCAACTACCAGGGCTATCTATTTTCCCAAAAAGGAAATTATGTTTCCCCACGAGTTTCCTCTTCCCCGCTGCTTCCCCCGCGGTTTTCTCTCACGTCCAGGCGGCTAAAGCCTCGGCTCCCCACGCCGCGGCCGCGGCCCGTGGCCGGGCGCTCGGACTGACCGACAGGGAATGGGCTGAGGGGCGAGATCGTTCCCATTCTATTTTTTGGGTGAATTGTTATTGTGGTTTCTCTTTTTTTACTGCGAGTTCTTCGTCTCCCTCTTCGTTTTCGAAGCCTCAAAAGGAAAACGGAGGAAGACTCAGCATTGGGAAGCGTCTCTGGCTTTGACAAGCAGCCACTCGTCGGGTTGGTTTAACGTAGGCCAAATGGCTTCGTTTGGTCCCACGTTGGAGTTTGGGGGACCTGGAGTGGGATGAGTCGGGTGTGTCAAAGCCCATCCGCTGAAGTTCCTGCCTGAGGTCCCAAACCGCGGATGCCCAAATGTGGGGCGATGTAGACATTCCTGCATCGCCGGGCAAACAACAGCCGAAGTGGTGAACAATGCCATCCCTCAGCCAAGGTCAAAAGAGCCCCAAAGGATCAGCCACCCATCGTCAACTCGGCTCCGCCCATAGCAATGTGGCAGGCCGAGTTCGTAGGCCAGCTGAATTGGTTTCCGGGGTCATCGAAATCCCCCACGGCGTTTGCCAAACACCCTGGTTGAAAGTAAAGCTGGAGCCGCACGAGGTTTCCTACAAGGGCACCCGGTTTGCTTCACATTTCCACAGCTAAAGTTGACAGCGATAAAACATACAATACTTGTACATGTTTGGTGGCATCTTGAGCAAATGCAAGATATCTGCACATATGCTTATGATCATGTTGTCATAGGCCTTCCTAGGTCTTATTTGAAGATAGACACCCCCCCCAATCAAGCAAGAGAGCTATCCTACGGTGAGGAGCAATGGCGTAGCTGTAGCTCACCTTTTCTCAACTTTTTGGGTTTCCTTCATGTGCCCCTTCAACCAGCAAGTGGTGCTTCATTCAGGGGGCAGGAGGGGGATAAGGTGGGGACCAGCTAGAACGTGAATCGGGGGAGGTTTTGAACGTTGGAAGAAACTCCAGCAAAAACTCCTGGTCTTGCTGGGATCTCTGTGGCTTTGGGCTGATCCCAAGCAGCCACAGGAAAGAGATGTGCGAGTCCCATTCGCTCCAGATCTTTAGATTCGGGTCAGTCTCAAAGTGCAGCAGTGTTGAAATTTGGATCGCTGGGCTGAGGCCCCAGATGCGGTCCGGAGCCCAGGAGTTGAATCTGGAGATGTGCAGGGCTTAAGGGACTCCATTCAGTGTAGCAGGCTCCCTAATTGTCTTTGCGAAAGGCACACAAAGAAAAATGAAAGAAGGCCAACGCCTAAGAAGGTACTTGTATACTCGAATTGATCATTATTGATCTTGTATTTTTGCGGGGCTCCCTGTGCAACGGCACGATTCTTGGACTTCATGTTCATTTGAGGCATGGTGGCTCCACTAAACGTTGCAAGTGAACGAAAACATGGCAATTTCCTTGTTCCCCAGATGAGGTGTTTTTTTGCCCCCCCCCCCTCCTTGGCAGTGGCAGCCTGGGTGGATTGAACTTTTCAGCCCTGATTTGGTGGCAGCTGAGAGCTGGCCTGGATCACTTGTGGCTGGTCTTGGGTTAGTTCGAGGTTCATTGAGCTCCGATATTGGGCCACTGTTTGCTTGGTGGTTGGTTGCCCCCGCGCTGAATGATGCTGCTCAACTGCTGCAGTTGCCTCATGGGTATGTCATTTTTTGGAGTTGGGGGAATCGAAGGAACACCGGGCTGCCCAAGTCCTCATGGACACGCCATGGGTTTGTGACCAATTGGTTTCAAATCAATTCTCTCCCCCCAACTGGCGCCTAGTTTGGTGGGTTGATTTGTGGCTGTGCCGCGGAAAGATTCTTGCCGGGGTTGAGACAACCGTTGTGCCAAGGGAACCATCATGGCCCACAATTGGCGGAGTCTTCACCGCTCGTGCGCTAGAGCAAAACTGTTGTGCACCTGTTCTGGAGACTCATGCTGTTTTTGTTTAACAGCCACCCTCACAGGGTCGCGTGTTGTGAGTTCCGGACAAGTGACGCTATCTAAATGGTGACCAAAGGGGTGACTACTGCTGACATGGGTGTGGTTTTTGCGGCTTCAAAGGGAAACGAAGGGAAGCCCATCATTTTTTGGGTCCCTTAAAAAGACACACCCCATATCGGCCCAGAGCACAGAAGAATCCTCCTGGTTCTAGAGCCCCACCACGATTGACAGCTGATGGTCTATACCTTGACGTCAATAGAATGTGTGTGTGTGTGTGTGTGTGTGTATCGATCGACATACGTACGTACACACTTCTGCAAATACATACCGATGCACAGCTGTGGGTGTTGCCAACCAAAGGATTATTTATATAACCTGTATACATACATTCTCATACACACACTGGCCGCCCCCCCTTCCAGGACCTGCCTTGTGGCTCCACTCCTCCACCCCCCGCAACACTCGTACTGTTAAACTCAATGTGAAAGTATAACCTATTTGCCGGAAGTGTAAACCAGTCTGTGACAGCGCGGCAGTTGTTTTCCACTGTGCGGGCAGTGTCTGAATGTACTGAGGCTCAAGGCCTTGATGTAAAGCGTTGCAGAGAGGGTGTTCGCAAGACTGTACAATGACAATGTACTCTAACACGCCTCCTCGGTTTGTACACCTCTATGCTCTAGTGTACAAAGCGCAACTCATTGTACATCTTCATGCGTGTGCAGAATCATCCTTCAGGATGTAGCCAGGCCTATAACCTGTGCAACGATGTCCTTGTCTGTGCAGATGTCCTGTAACAAATTCCGGTGTGCCACAATGGCGTGTAGCTAGTTGTCATCCAGGATGCGCTTCTTGTTAAGAAGCCGATAGCCCTGTTGCTGGGACAAGATAGTTGTACCATCGATTTCCAACCAAAATTGTATTGCTCCCTGTGAGCTGAATTCTATGCTCCACGATGTACTGGATCACTCTGGTCCTGTGGCTCAGCGATGGATTGTATCGCTGCGTAGCTGTAGTGATGTAGAGCCAAGGCGAGGCCTGCATGAACCCTGTCCAGACGGTCCACATTGTTGAGCACTGTCTTGATGGGACTGACTATGTGTTGCAAAATTGCAAAGTTGCGCGTGAGGTTGTAGTGCTGGTAGAAATTTGTAATGTGGCCCTGTACCTTAATGATTGTACCAGAGGCCTTCTCGATGTCGACAAGGTCCATGCGCAAGTGTGTTGTAGTTGGAGGACTGCGCTGATGCAGCCCTGTTGAACAATGTCACTTGCTTTTCGTAAACCTTTTGGAAAAGCTCGTTCGTCTGAAGGTTGACCTTGAGGATGTAAAAGGTTGTCATGTCCAGTGTGCTGTCAATACCTTCATGTATCAGCCAGCTGATGTAGCCGACGCATCCATGAGGCTGTGAAGCATTCCAATGAATCCCAGTGTGGGGGACCTCATGTAGCCCGGAATGTTTTGTATCTCACCTGGCCGCGATGTGGCAGTGGTTGTAATGAACTTGTACTGCTCTATGGTGAGCCCGATCATCACCTCAGTGTAATCCTGAGGGTTAGCAGGTGTAGTCGGGTTGTCCCCACCCTGTTCGACTGTAAACCCATCTGGCACTGCCAAAGGCATGTTGCAGGGTCTTGTAGGCGCGATGATCCATTGTAGGATGTTGGCCTAAAAGCAAACTGTAGAAACCAAATGTAGATGGGTGTAGCATGTATCAAGACATTGCCTGAAACATGTACAAACTGTCACGCGGAAAATGTCCCAAATGTAGAGGGTTGTAAAGCGCAAGGGGGTCGATCCATGGCAATGTATCTACCCTAAAAGATTGTAACTATGCCGGCTGTTATGTAGTAAGACAAACATGTGTGAACTGTGTATTTGTTGTTTGACAACCTGTGCTGACTACTGTACTCACTAGTGTGAAACTGTTGTGGGGTGACCTCGCAGGCCAACGTTGTACATGTGTTTGTTGGGTGTGCTGTAGCTGGCATTGTCAATGGTGTTGTGAGAGTTGGTGTAGGCAGTGCTGATGCCGGTGTCTTCCATGGACCTGTGTGTACACAGTCCAGTAGGTGCTGATTGTATTTGCGAGGCATGATCTGCCTTCTCCTTCTCCTTGCTCTGACAATCTTGTTGCCAAGCCAGATCCCGTTGTAGAATCTAGGCTCTATTCCACTGTCTCACCAAACTCGCAAAGTGGTGTATGTTGCTCTCTGTTCCATCTGTTGAAGTAGCTTGCGCATCCATTGCTGTGAACTGCATACCTGTTCATGATGTATGCACTGTGTCGAACCATCCAAAGCATGAGTGGATGTTTCATTGAAACGTCTCTGTTGTAGTTCTGCTTGATCTGCGCCTTGAGTGTTCTGATGTGTGCAGACAATGTCCTGTGTGCTCGTTCTACTCCACCTTGTGATTGTGAGCTGTATGCTCCAGAGTTTTTGTGGTGATGTTGCCATTCTTGTTGGCCACTGCTGTGATGAGCGCTGTCAGGAAGTCTTCCTGATGCGATTGTAGTATGGTGTGTGTTGTCCTTCCAAATTCCATAAGGAAGCGCTGTGGCTGTGTAACTGCGTGGTCGAAGAGCATCCTCTTGTCGGTCAGTTGTAGTGCCATGATCATCCCAGATTGGATGTCAATTGCTGTGAGAATCGGATGTACGTTGCTGTCATCAAAGCCTTTGATGTAGCCGAAGTCAAAGCTGCATGATTGGACGCTTGCTGTGCTGCTTTGTGTGATTTTTCTGTCTGCCTCTCGCTTGTACGCATATTGGACACCAACTCCTGTAAGGGAGGAGTGTCACGTTGTGCTTGAGTATCTCCTGTGGTGTTGGTTGCTTGGGTGCTTGTACTGCCTTGACCTTTGTGCCTTGCTGTTCCTCCGAGTTGTGTTGGAAACTCCTGATGTTCCTCGAAGTTTGTCCAGCCTGTCCATGGCTTGTCTGATGTCTTTGCTGGCTGTGTTGCCCATGCATCTTCTACCAATCTTGTGTTGTGTCTTTCTCCGACCCGACTGGTTGTACCTTGGTCTGTCTCCAAGGTATGAGTCGCTTGTTGTCTGGCCCGTCGTGTGTCTGCTCTGGTATGTAAGACGCTGTTCGAGGCTCAACATGTACTCTCTTCCAGTATGGCCTTCTTTGTACCAGTAGTCTTTTCCAGGATGTACTTCTCAAAAATGTGGAAGTCCATCTCCAGCTGCACCTTTGGTGGTGTGTGGTGCTGCTGACTCCTGTAGTGGTGTGTTTTTGAAGCTCTCTTCGAACTATCCAATGATTCTTGTACCAAGAGGTATGGAATACCGTGGGGGGTATAAACCGCCATGTTTCAAAGCCGTTGGCTTGCCTGTTTTGTCTGCGTATTGTAGACGCTGGTCCATCGCATGTGCTCACCAAGAGGTAGTGTAGATAGTTCCTCAGTTGTATCCATTGCTCTGCTATTGCTTGTGAAGGTGCTGCTGTCTCAAGTTGGTCATTTGTATCTGCCAGTTGTGATTGCTCTGACTGTCTCAGCAGTCTGTTGTATGCTGGGTCTTGCAGTCCTAGATATGCTGTCATCTTGTACTTCCATTCTTCGAAGGTGTTGCGTTCTCCTGTAAACCGTGGTGGTGATATCTTGTAACTCTTGTATTTGTGGATTTGCTGTTCCTGCTGCTGTTGCTGTTGTTGTTGTTGTTGTTGTTGTTGTTGTTGTTGTTGTTGTTGTTGTTGTTGTTGTTGTTGTTGTTGTTGTTGTTGTTGTTGTTGTTGTTGTTGTGCCAACATGTTGCTCACTGCTGTGTACCTGAACCTGTCGGTGCGTGTTGAAGCTCACCTGGGTTGTGGTCATGGATCGTGTGCCAGGGATCACTGCTCCGCTACCATGTTAAACTCAATGTGAAAGTGTAACTGAAGTGTAAACCTGTTTGTGACAGAGCGGCAGTTGTTTGCCACTGTGCGGGCAATGTCTGAATGTACTGAGGCTCAAGGCCCTTGATGTAAAGCGTTGCAGAGAAGGGTGTTCGCAAGACTGTACAATGACAATGTATTCTAAAACGTACATGTATATATATGTATGTATATATATATTCTCCCTCAAGGAACGTTTTGCTGGTTTTTGCAGTGTGCAAAAACCAGTGTGTTTGCCAATTTTCCCAGTACTTTCGAGGTATCGAACATAATTTGCAGAAGTTGGCTCCAGTGCAAGCTGTAGCTTTGAGGAACCTTGTCAAGAGACATGGAAGACCCATTTCCACAAAAAAAGAAATCATCGCAGCCATGGTAGGGGTATGCTGCTGTTGTTTGGTCAAAAGCTCTAGTGTAGTGGGAGGAAAGCTGGTCAACAAGTCTCGATTGTGGACGGTTGGATATTTTGAACCCAAATTCTGAAAATGGATGCACACATGTGTTTATGTTAGATGTATGAATGTTTCTCAAATCAGTTGGACCCCATTCGTGTAATTAGTTTTCTGTTGGTTTCCCTTCAAAGCCCTCCCGAGATACATATTACCACACCCATCATTTTTGGCTTTAACTTATCCCTTGTCGTTTTGCTTTTCTTCCCTTCCTTCATTTTCCTCACCGAACAGCTCACTTTTTGCAGGGGGTCAGATCCGTCCCAAGTTTGATCGATTGAGGCACCGCGGCCGACCCCGCCGCAGTCCCCGTGGGCCACTGAGTGACACCTGAGTGACACCTTCCGCACGCTTCTCGAAGCGCGCGGACTTTTCGGAAGCGGTCCTTTTTTTTTGCATTTTGTGTCCTCTTGTTCCTTGTTTCAGCTTTCGCAAGTATGACAAGCTTCCACTTTGTGTTTGGCGATTGGGATTTTGCTTGTTGGCTTCAAGGCGAATGGTATCTTTTTCATGTTGGGTTCAAGCGAGAATGGTCATGTCTAGCAAACCCTGCTTTTTTTCTTCGCATGTTGTGCAATTTTTAGTTGTTCTTGTCCAAAGCTAGGGTAATGCATTCTGAATTTGAGACCCCTTTTGGATGGCTGCCGAAGAGAAACCAAAGGACGCCGACCCAATTCGGGGGGAGTCTTCCATATTGGGACGATTTAAATACGTCTCTTTTCAGGCAGGACATTTCGGAGAGTTTCTTTTCCAAACCCCAGGTCGTTGCATGCTGTGAGAACCACCAAATCAAACATCATTCAGACACTTATCATGGAATTTGGTTGTGGTTGTTCGGGAGACAGCGACTCAGCGCTTGGTTTCCTTTGAACCCACCAAAGGTCCACCTTTTTAGCGACCACACCCTATCAATCTGCATTTCGTTGTCACACGCGGTCAACATGAATGTCAACTTCGAAAAGGCCTTTGCGCGATTCAGAGTAGAACGCCATGCATATGAGCCACACACCAATTCTGGGCAGCTCTATGTTTGTACGGGAGCGTCCCAACCAAGAGCGGATATTCGACTTTGTGATTTTTGCTAACCCAAGGGTGGGCAACATTGTCCCAGCAACGTGTGGTAGCCTAACAGAAAGGCGAAGCACAATGCTTATCAATAAGACGCTTGACTGCCAGGTGCGGTTTGATTTCGTGCCACAAGCAACCGAGAAACCCTTTTGACATCTTTCGACAATAGAAAAAGGCGGACATGGGCCATGTACCTGTTTTTTTTTGGCGACCCAATTTTTAAGGGTCAGGGACTCTGGGAAGCCACTATCCAGAGCTCGATTTTGGAAAGCTCGAGCGTTTGTCGGAACTTCTAGTTGGTCAACTTGGGGCTGACAGGATGATCTTTCAGGCCCACCAGATGCGAAACACGTTTTTTTGTCCTGCCTCACGGTCGCATAACTTCCCAGCTCTTGGCTGGGCTTGTGCACCAGTGTCAACTTCTTGGATTCGAAAACAATTCGAAGACCACACTACTTGTTTTTCTTTGGCTGATCCATTTTTTTGGGACCATACAAATCAGGACCATACCGATGTCGCAGGGGAATCCGACGGCTTTTTCTGCGCAGGCCCGAAGGCGGCGTCAAGCGCAAGCTTGACCAGGCGCAAACGTCTGGGCCGGAATGCAGTTGGGTCGTGTCCAGAGCAGCTTGGGTGCGGTTTAATCCTGGGAAAGAACACCGACCTCACTCCGACAAAATTGCGACCTCACACACGAAGAGGCCTTCCTTGTCGGTCCCTCTCTTTAGGTTCACACTGATATCCTTCCAATATGATCTCGCATGGGCCAATTTGCGCAGCGGGTTCCTTCGGATTGCTCGCCCTTGTCTTCGTTGCTCCAAAGCTGCCGGCTTTTGGAGTTTTGGGGTGTTACGGTTCTCCGTTATGCTCATCTCGGTCCCCCTGTGTGCTCGGCGCGGTTGGTGAGTGCTTCGTTGCCACGGTGGTTTTTGACCAGGACGAGTATACCTGAATGGGCTAGTGGGGGAGTGTCCAATTTTCGAGGGATCCGAATCAAGTTTGCGTCATAATTCACCTCCTAAGTCCCCATGTTGGGCCACCCCGGTTTACTCCGAGCCGAACATCCAGTCTTTTTCCCGCGAGAGGCGGTTTTTCGGGCGGAGGGAACCAGACAGGTACCGCAACATTCGGGATGACGTTCAGCCGTTCAGTTTTGTTCTGGGGTTTGTGATGAAGTGGTGGGGATACGTGTGTGACCGGGGAAGAACTGCTCCTTGCGAGAAGAGTGAGGCAGTCCAGAGAAGTCGACACTTGGTCCAAGTCCACTTGGGGGGCAGTTTTTAGCCTTGCACATGCAGCACATCGCATTGAATGCCCTCAGGGGATTGGGAGTCGGGAGCCCTTACAACTTCATATAATCCTTTGCACACATTTTGATCATTCGCAATGCCCAAGGCAATGCCCAAAATCCCCTGGCGGCGTGGTTTGGAGATTGGAACCGCTTTGAAATCACATACCCTCCCAAATGATGTCCAAACCACAAAACCAAACCAGCAACTAGGAGTAAGGTGTGGACATGCACCCACAGGGAGCAAGTTCTGCAGGGCTGTTCGGTGAGTTTCCAGGCAAAAGGTGTCAGACCTTCCCACAGACGAAAGCGACGGGCTATGGATCGCTCTAAGAGTGGAAGCACTCCTTGTGTGAAACGATTCCTTCCACTTTTTTGGGGCAGATATGAATGACTTGCGCACGGCGTTTGGGGATGGCGGACTTTTCTGATTTATCCTCCTTGTTTGGGGGGTTAATGCTCCCTGGCATTATAGAAGTAACACGCCCTCTAACCAGCATCACAACCCTAAATATGAATGTTTCACTTCAGATTGAACATCAGTTTTGTTGCCTAGGAGCATAGCTTAAGCAGCCTCCTACAGAAGTAACTGCTAGAGTCTGAGAATTCCCCACATGAGGCTACCCAAATGGCCGGCAGATTGCTCACGGAGTAGAACACAAAGCAGAAAACAAAACACCTCCCCACCCCCACAAACGCTCTGGATGTGCGTTTGCCGTCCAGGTCTCCGGCAGCGTTTCACTGGGGCCCAGTCCAAAGGTGCCGGGCAAGGACAGCTTCGCGAATGAAAAAAACAATCCCCATGCCACGGGTACTTTTCTTGGCTCGGGAGCAAATCTGGGCTCCAAGGTTGGGAAAAGGCATCGGAGACGAGGGCACCTGAATTCAGTTTTGTGTTTTTGTTCGCAACTAGGACAATCCCGAGCACCATTTGGGCGCCACAGTCAAAATGACTTGTAGTTATCCAAAGAGGACATCGAATCTGCAGGCGCAATGCCAGTGATATGCAAATCAGGGGGTGTTTTGACCTCTAGCATTCCCATAGTTCCAGTTTCCCTCTTGAAGGACTGGAACAGTCAAAGGTTTGATTCGGGGACTAAAAGGGGCGCCACTTCCCCTCTTAGGGCTGTCGAAAGGTGTTGTGCTGTTCAATTCGACCGTGGAAGGTGGTTTGATTCATCCTCTCGAGGATCCAGTTGCAATTACCACTGTAGGAGGTAACCAGAAAGTTACGTCAAACATTTTCATGATAGTTTTCCAGTATACCTACATGCCAAACACAGCCACCATTTTGGGAGGGTTTTGCCCATGTTGCACTTTTATCCATTAACTCTCATTCATCTTTTTCTTCACTTAGAACCAAGTGGTATATCGGACAAGCCCTCCCTGTTTTCGTGGCTTCGCATTTTTTCCCAGTGAGCGAGTGGTTGAACGCCCCGTAAGCTTTGGAGGTGCCCAGCACCGGCAAGGGCGTGGTGAAAGTGGCGCCCAGAGCGGACTTTTCCAAGGCGGGGAGTTGGGGGTTGGGGGTTGGAAGTTGGGGGTTGGGGTGGGAAAAGGTGCAGGAAACCCCCCTGCGTCACCCCTTTTTGGACCTTTAGTTTTGTTGGCCTGAGAGAGGGATGGCCTCGGTATCCCGTTGATTCTCGTGTCTTGTTTTGTTTTGGGGGCTTTGACCCAAAGACTTCGAAGGCGTTGGATTCCAACCGAAAGCATGGCCGGGGGTCTCGCGCGATTCGGGCCGTCAGGGCCCGGTCGCCCCGAAGCTGCCGTCCAAAGGCCGGCGCCAAGTGCCGTGGGGGGCACCGCGTGTGTGTGTGTGTGTGTTTTTTTTTTTCTTTTTTTTTTTCTCCGAAGTCGATGTGTGGAGTCTTTCAAATAGGAGACTCTCCCAACTGGGACATGAAACGCATCAGAAACTTGATCGATTTGATTTGACAAGCCAGAAAGCAAAATAGGCGTGAGGTCTCATGCACAGTTTCTCGTCTTTGGACATGAACGAAGCCTTTTGTTTCAGTTTTGCTGTTGCTGATGTGAATGGCAATCAGTTCAAAGAGGTGTGAGTCTCTGGCCTTTTGGTTCTTTACTCACTGTTTTCCGGTGGACTTTTGAAGGCTTTGATTGGACCCTTTACATTTAACATAACCAGTGTACATCTTGCTCATTTTGGTGTTTAACCTATCCTTTGGATAGTCTCCTATTGAAAAGCGTCCTTCCCTATCCCTGGAGTAGACGTCCCACCCGAGAACGGGCCGCCGAGTCCTGCAATTCCGGTGTGGAGAAAGCGTCAACTTGGCCTTTGGCTTTCTGATGGTCTGTTCCAAGAGCTGAGGCAAAACATCCCTCAGACAAGTTTGATCTGAAGCCTTCTGCTAAACCCCTTTGATCAGAAGGTTTCTTCCGAACCTTTCTTGAGCTGCCTAAGCATCCCCAGAAGCTTGGGCCAACCTCTTTCATTCGATGCTTCCCCAGTTTTGGAGATTAGCCACCGTCCCGAAACCTGCCAACCCATTGGCGTTTTGCCTTTTCCATAGCAGTTGCTGCAGCTCCCCTCTTGATCTTGCATCAAAACCCACGAAAAAAAACATCAACCAGTCAACACAAATCTTTGACGCAACATGATTCTTGAAAATGAGATTGACAGTCCCCTTTTCAAGATTCCCCATTCATTTTCCTCGGTCGGCCGGAGGCGGAAAGGGCGGTGTGGCCTGGGGCCTAAGGGGCCGAAGCCTGCAACAACTGCGCTGTGAAAATACCAAAAAATTGGGGGGAAATGTCCGGGGGGATTCTGGGTTTGTGCACTCTCCCCCCACCCCCCCTCAAGAAAAGAAAGAGACAAAAACAAAAAAAGCAACAAAATAGGAAAAGGGCAGCGGCTTGGTGCAGAGACCCTCTTTTGGAAGGCCAGTGTCGGAAAAGGAAGCCGTGTTCTTCCCTAGGTGAGAGTGGAATCCTCAAGATGGGCTCAGGAATTCACTTCCGTTTCGCTGCGAAAGGACTTGCCTGTTGAGCAGTGGTGACTTGGGCTGCCCTCTGTGGTACTTTCTACAGGGACGCCTACACATGGCATCCTTCAGTGTCAGGATTGTCGTCTCAGACAGCTCCAGTTGTATAGTCACTTTTCCAGTCAGGCTCCAATTGGCTTGCCTGTTGCACAGAACGGCCTTCTGAAGCCTCATTGGAGTAATCACGAGTCTCATTGTAACCATTGGGAGAGTTGGCCATGACTTCCAAGGGGGAACACCCAAATGGTTGGTGGACATTGATCCCATGCAGATGATGTCTGCCAACGGGTCCCCAATCCAACCTTGTACCCATGTTGAAATGTCCCTGTTTGGAGGCCATCGCCTTTCTGTTTTGGTTTTGAAGGGAGACCAAAGGAAAACCATGCATTTCCGGGTTTACATTTTGGACCAGACCCACATGCCTTTTTGGTTGAACATCAAGTCGGACGCCCCAACATAGGTTTTGGGACTGCTCCCAAAAATATCCGAGGCAAGTTGTACTTGTGGAGGGTGTCCTAAGTTTCAGTGTTCCATTTTCATTGGTGATTTTTGGTAAAGGGAAGTTGCCACATGGTATTCCTGTGTTTTTGGTCACATTTGACACGCCGAAAGGAAAGCTTCTGACCCCCGCTTATGGTTTTGTGCCTGTGCTGCTCTTTTAAATGGTATTAGACTCTTCTTCAGGTCTCTTCTAAACGCTTCTTGATTTTTCATGTATATATATATATATCCCTCCAATCGTCGCTTCGCTTGTATGGTTGTTGGAAAGAGGGTAAAGCAACTTGTGCTTCTTTTTGTGGCAGCACGTCCCAGCCCGGCCCTTCATTTTCAATTTCAATGTGGGGGGGCAAACCTTGATTCAGATGCGAGAAAGCATATTCACCTGTTTGCAGGAAATCAATTTTCATAAGTAAAGCATGTCCACGCCTGGGTTCGCAAGTAACTCCCCTTTGTTGAGAGCGCCCCTCTTTCATTTTTTGAACCCCCCTACCCTCCCTCCAACAATCATGGAAGCTGATCGAAGGGTTGTGGAAGACTACTTTCCTTCTCCACTCCCCCGACTTCCGCCGGAATCAGGCCCTTGCACCGAAGGCGTGGCTTTTGGGTTTCATGCCCACAGCCCTTGGACGGGGCATCCTCGGATTGTCTCAACTGACAAGTTACTCATGAATGTTTTGTTGTTCGGCATAGGTCGCAGGACAAGCGTCTCAACCGAAGGGTTCAAGAGGTGGTTGGTTGGAAGTGGATATGGATGAATGGATGGATATTGGTTTGCTTGGTTGGTTGGGTTCCTCCTTTCAAGGTGCCCTGCAGAATAAGTGTCAATTGCTGAAGGGCAACCTTTTGGGGGGCATCTTTTAACGTTTTGGAGGGACATTAGATGGTTGCCGTCTGTTTCGGAGCATCGGCACGCTTGTGAAACAGGTGATGTTGAGATGTTGCTTTTTGGGTTGGTGCCAATTTTTGCATAATAATAATAATGATGATCATAATAGTAATACTAATAATAAGAACAATAACAATAAAAATAATAATAATACTAATAATAATAATAATAATAATAATAACAATAATAATAATAATAATAATAATAATAATAATAATAATAATAATAATAATAATAATAATAATAATAATAATAATAATAATAATAATCATAATAACAATAATCATGATGTAAGCCCTCCTGAAAGGATGGACACCCTATTCTGTAAGCTCAGCATTGTTGCAAATTGAACTATCAACCAGATGGCAATTTGCGTGACCTGCTGCGACAAACAGCCAATTTGTTGTTTCATCTCTCCCTTCGCCATGGGCGAAAACAAGGTTTTGAGTTGAAACGCTTTCACACGTTTGTGACATGACGTGTTCACTGTGTGAATTTTCTCTTGAGTTTTGAACAACTGCATTTGAGTCAGCCTTCTGCATGTGACTGTCTCCAACATCAATGTGAACATGAATGGTTCATACATTGGCTCAGGGTGGGATAGTGGTGGGTGGTCCAGCTAAATAAGCTGGGCAACAATTTTGATTGATTTTTCCATGGGCAACTGCTTACGGCGATCACGGCTCGCCATATACAATCGCTGGAGTCGGCTGGTGCGGGCGCTGTTTGCAGTGCGGCGTTTACAGCGCATTTTCCACAAAGGGGAGCGTATCTACATCAGCGGGTTTCTAGGCGCTTGCATTCGCGCCTCTCCCAAGGACTACCTTTGCGGCGATTCTGCTCTGTCACAGTGGGGCGCAAACAAGAGCAGAACCATGGAATTTTCTTTTGCAGAAGACCATCGAAGGTTGCAACAAGCTTGGAGATCTCTCGATGGAAGCAGAGTGTTTTTGCCCTGGGAAACAGGCTGTTGGAGCTTGAAAACCCTGGTGACAACGGAACTACACCTGTCACGCGGTTGGCTGAACCACCTGTTTTGTTTGGACCTGACATTTCTGGAGTTTCCACGGCTTCGTCCTCCAAGCGGAAGTGCTCGTCGTTTATTCAGGTGGTGCAACAGCTTGACGAACTCTCATGGCGTGAGGAACGAGATTGGAAATGGCAATCTGCGTTGTTGCGTTGGCATGGCATGATTTTAACCAGGTCTGATGAAGTTGATGTCGCAAGGAAGTTGAGGAGTTGTGCAGCTGTCAGGGAGCAGTACAATTTGCTTTGTGATTACCTTTGTGCCAAAGCGCCGGCCACGCTTGAGACACGCTGCAGAGATACCTCTCATTTTTAGGATCCGAAGCCATTTCATTTCCTGGCAAGGAATGTGGTCTTTACAAATTCCCATGTGTTGAACGTGATCGAGATGCTCCACCTTCGAGGGCGAAGAGCTTAATCGAGGCTTTGACCTTTGTGCGTCACGTGCTGCAGGTGGACGTTTCTGAACTCATCAATTCACGCAGATGTCACGGAGTTGGGTATAACACGGCCAAGGCCCGGACAAATCAGGCTTCCCCTTTCCTGGTCGCCAAGCTTCAGCAACTGCATGCGGTTTTGAGGGAAGATGGTGAACCCTGGAACAAAGCTATGATGGCTATTTACAGCCGAAGCAGATGGAATGATTTGCAGCATACTTCTGAGATGTTGGTTGACACCGGCACGGATGGCAATATTGCATACTTGGAGTGCAAAATCTATGAGTGTAAGACTCGTGGCGCAGCAGCCTTCAGGGGGCAATATCTGCCAACGGTGGCCCCAGCAATGGCCTGAAAGGATGGAGACCTTATTCTGTAAGCTCAGCATTGTTGCAAATTGAACTATCAACCAGATGGCAATTTGCGTGACCTGCTGCGACAAACAGCCAATTTTGTTGTTTCATCTCTCCCTTCGCCATGGGCGAAAACAAGGTTTTGAGTTGAAACGCTTTCACACGTTTGTAACATGACCTGTTCACTGTGTGAATTTTCTCTTGAGTTTTGAACAACTGCATTTGAGTCAGCCTTCTGCATGTGACTGTCTCCAACATCAATGTGAACATGAATGGTTCATACATTGGCTCAGGGTGGGATAGTGGTGGGTGGTCCAGCTAAATAAGCTGGGCAACAATTTTGATTGATTTTTCCATGGGCAACTGCTTACGGCGATCACGGCTCGCCATATACAATCGCTGGAGTCGGCTGGTGCGGGCGCTGTTTGTAGTGCGGCGTTTACAGCGCATTTTCCACAAAGGGGAGCGTATCTACATCAGCGGGTTTCTAGGCGCTTGCATTCGCGCCTCTCCCAAGGACTACCTTTGCGGCGATTCTGCTCTGTCACAGTGGGGCGCAAACAAGAGCAGAACCATGGAATTTTCTTTTGCAGAAGACCATCGAAGGTTGCAACAAGCTTGGAGATCTCTCGATGGAAGCAGAGTGTTTTTGCCCTGGGAAACAGGCTGTTGGAGCTTGAAAACCCTGGTGACAACGGAACTACACCTGTCACGCGGTTGGCTGAACCACCTGTTTTGTTTGGACCTGACATTTCCGGAGTTTCCACGGCTTCGTCCTCCAAGCGGAAGTGCTCGTCGTTTATTCAGGTGGTGCAACAGCTTGACGAACTCTCATGGCGTGAGGAACGAGATTGGAAATGGCAATCTGCGTTGTTGCGTTGGCATGGCATGATTGTAGCCTGGCCTGATGAAGTTGATGTCGCAAGGAAGTTGAGGAGTTGTGCAGCTGTCAGGGAGCAGTACAATTTGCTTTGTGATTACCTTTGTGCCAAAGCTCCGGCCACGCTTGAGAAACGCTGCAGAGATACCTCTCATTTTTAGGATCCGAAGCCATTTCATTTCCTGGCAAGGAATGTGATCTTTACAAATTCCCATGTGTTGAACGTGATCGAGATGCTCCACCTTCGAGGGCGAAGAGCTTAATCGAGGCTTTGACCTTTGTGCGTCACGTGCTGCAGGTGGACGTTTCTGAACTCATTCACGCAGATGTCACGGAGTTGGGTATAACACGGCCAAGACCCGGACAAATCAGGCTTCCCCTTTCCTGGTCGCCAAGCTTCAGCAACTGCATGCGGTTTTGAGGGAAGATGGTGAACCCTGGAACAAAGTTATGGCGGGTGCCCTTTAAATGGCTATTTACAGCCGAAGCAGATGGAATGATTTGCAGCATACTTCTGAGATGTTGGTTGACACCGGCACGGATGGCAATATTGCATACTTGGAGTGCAAAATCTACGAGTGTAAGACTCGTGGTGCAGCAGCCTTCAGGGGGCAATATCTGCCAGCGGTGGCCCCAGCAATGGCCTGAAAGGATGGACACCTTATTCTGTAAGCTCAGCATTGTTGCAAATTGAACTATCAACCAGATGGCAATTTGCGTGACCTGCTGCGACAAACAGCCAATTTGTTGTTTCATCTCTCCCTTCGCCATGGGCGAAAACAAGGTTTTGAGTTGAAACACTTTCACACGTTTGTGACATGACCTGTTCACTGTGTGAATTTTCTCTTGAGTTTTGAACAACTGCATTTGAGTCAGCCTTCTGCATGTGACTGTCTCCAACATCAATGTGAACATGAATGGTTCATACATTGGCTCAGGGTGGGATAGTGGTGGGTGGTCCAGCTAAATAAGCTGGCCAACAATTTTGATTCCCGCCCGCCCACACCGGGGAGACACGGGTGCCCACGGAATCAGGCTATCATTTGCCTCGTGGTAAGCGGCGCCGTTTAAAGGTCAATCAAAGACTGTGGATTTCCCCAGTGCTCGTTTGTGCGGATGAAAAGAAAGAGCCGATCCTGTGTTTCAGCACTTCTCGCTTTGGATGAGCTACTCCCCTTTCGCTAAACCCCCTTTTGTGGTTTGGCCTCTCCCCCTTCCTTTTGGGGACTTGTTCGATTCCCTTTCCTGGAGAGGGTAAGTTTTATAATGCTGGTAGAATATACTTTGTAGCAAGCAGGTTTAAATGCGACAGTTGGAGGAGTAAGATGATAATAATAGCAACAATAATGATAACAATAATGATAATGCATTGTTATTGTCATTTTCTTATTATCATCATTATTATTTTTGTCATCATCATTATTATTAGTAATTATTAGCATTAGTATTATTATTATAAGTATTATTATTGTTATTATTATTATTATTATTATTATTATCATTATTATCATTATTATTATTATTACTACGACTATTTTTATGCTTATTACTATTATTGTTATTATTTTTACTATTATTATTATTATCATTATTATATATCTTGATTTTGGGTTGCATCAAAGGACCCAATGGGTGGCCCCACCCCACAAAAACAAGAAGCAGAGAGAGGGAGAAAGAGAAAGGGAGAGAGATAGAGAGAGAGGGAGAGTGCCTGTGCCTTTGTTTCCCCCTTAAAGCTAAAAAGCAAGTACCCTCAGAAAAGCACCTAGCGCGCCCGAACCACAAAAAATCACAGATGTCGCGTTGCAGGGGCAACTGTTGCGGTGGATTGGGCCCCTGTCTCAACCCGCCTGTACCTGTTTTAGCGCTACAGGTAGCGTGAGGAAGGCGCCCAGAGGAAAACAACGAGAAACCGATGAGGACAGTTGAGAAACCTAAGGGGGCGGGTGGAACAGGTTCAAAGGAAATTGTCCATTGTCCACCCAAACTGTAGCCTGTTGTTTTTTCATTCGAGCTGGGTCAGACCCCCTCATATAAACCCCTTGCAAAAAAGGTGGGACTCTTTGCTGGTTGAAAAGGACAATGACGAAAAACAAAGACAACAGGTGAACAAGGTAAGCTAACTGCAACTTCGCAATGGTTGTTTTGATTTGGACAATCCGCTGGATGTCGAACCTGGATTCAAGTAGAACCTGGTGGATAGATAGGAAGGGTGATTTGGATCGTTCTAGTGGATGTAATGTCGATACCCTGAGTCACCCCTAGCATGGTGAATCGAGGGTTCATTAGGATCGACCCCCTCCCTTTATCATGGCAAAACTCATGGGAGACCAGCCTATTATAGGCATTTGCCAAAAGGCCTTTGTGGTTGAAATGTAGAAAGCACAACACATTTGTACCATGCTCGGCTGCTTTGGTTTACAAGTCATGGTCACCAACCCTCGAACAGCCGTTTTTCAATCCTAACCAACCCAACGGTTAGTATCAAACCAACTCATTTCTTTGGGATGTGGACAGCTCCATTTACTGTGTTGGGCGGATTGGACGTGACCATTTGGTTGCTTATTTTGAGTGAACCTCGTCACAGGAACAACCACAAACACTGAGCATTCTGTTGAGAAAGCCGCTTCGTTTCTCTCCTAGAAGCCAACCCACCAACCCCATTTGAAGACCCAACGAACCCGCTTCCCTTCCAGCTTCCCTGCTTTTTTCCGACCGATTCCTTCCCTTTCGCCGGGCCCTCGACCAACGTCGGCTCGCTGGCCAGGCGAAGTCGGCTCCGACGCCGGAGGACTGGGGGATGTGGGGATCGATTTGCAATCTAAGTGGGATGCCAAAGAAAAGCGAGCCGAAATGGTCCGAAACGACAAGCCGATTTACTCGTTGACATTTCTATCCTCCACTCCATCCCAACATCGAGCAATTTCGCGGCGGGCGTAATCCTAAGTGCACCCGAAGCATCAGAGAAGACCCTCCATTGGATGGGTCTGGATCTCCATTGGAAGGTTTGGGACCTGAAAGAAAGCCCTTTTGGAGGCCAAGTGACTCGAGTTTCAGGTTGCGGCAGCTCCGAATGAGCCCTCGCAGCCTCAGGGCCGCGCCCTGAGTCACTTCTCCAGGTGGCTTCCTTTTTGTTCTTCCCGAAATGACACTGACAAGAAGAAGGGGCCCTTTTTCCAGCCAGGGGCCTGGAAAGTAATCTTAGTCTGAGAACGATTCTGAGGGGTAGGGGGGGCGGCAATGGGCTTAGTCTTTCTTTCCCTGGTGTTGGGGGAAGCCACCTTTTTGTGCAGGTGTCAACTCATGGGTACCAGTCCTTCTTTTTGTTTTTCAACCAGCCCTGACCCCGAAAGGAATGTTCAAGCAGGTTGTTTAGTCATGTTTTAGCAAGTTGTCAAGGGTGGCTTTGAAAGCCTTTGGTCTCCTCCCTGTTTGTCCCGAACAATTCCCGTAATGGTGAGCTCGCCAATCCGGACTTTAGGAAGGCCTGAAGCAGATGTCCGGAACTGGCAAAAACCTGATTTGGAGCTTGGCCAACTCGTGACACACAGGCACACAGGTGGGCCAGTTGACCTGGGCAGCCATGAATATGCGCGGGTCTCCGTTTGATTCTTTGTCAGTTTTGTTGGGGTAGACCATACCCTTCACCAGGTTTTGATTGTGACTCAAATTGGCTTGTCTCAACATGGACTCACAGAACACTGACCAGGTGCCTTGAACAGGAAACTTAACCATCATGAGATTCAGCTCAGGCCAACCACTGGGACATCCACTCTTCATTCGATTCTTTTCTTGGTGGACTCCTTCAATCCTTGTGGAATTCCGGAGCCGTTTCGCTTTCGAGGTCTGCCCAGACCACTGCCAAAGTTCCAACCGGCTTCCAAAAGCAAGGCGCGGAGATCAGAACGGTTTTGGTCCTACCCTCCCTCTGACCCGGCTTGGGGCCGGAGGAAAAGCATACGGGAGCTCGGAGATGGCCAAACCCGAAGCCTCCCTTGCCCCCTTGCTAAGACATAGCTAAACAACTTGCTTGAACATTCCTTCCGGCCTTTTTTGTGGCGCAACGTCAACGCCCCGTTCAGGTTGAGCCAAAGACAAAGCAGCCGGTCAAGGGCGATGCCAAGGGCGATGGGAAGGGCGATGGGAAGGGCGATGACAAGGGCGATGCCAAGGGCGATGCCAAGGGCAACGCGAAGGGCAATGCCAAGGGCAATGCTAAGGGGGTCGCCAAGGGAGAGAAGAGCGACAAGGGCGACGCCAAAGGTGATGCAAAGGGCACCGCCAAGGGTGATGCCAAGGGCGACAAGGGCAAGAGCGATGCCAAGGGAAAGGGCGACAACAGCGATGGCAAGGGCGAAACTAGCGACGGCAAAAGCGACGGCAAAGGCGCGGGTGCGAAAGGCATGAAAGGAGGCAGGGCCTGCGGTTTGTGAGTGTATTCTCTAACAATAAGGTTTGGTCAAGATTACTCACTTCCTGACCCCAAGCCCTTTAGCCCTTTTGGTGGGGTGGCCCAAAATACACGCAAAAGGGGCCCTAGTTTTGACAACCCAAGATGGGTTTCGAGCCCGGAGCTTCCCTAAGCCGGCTTGCCGAAGCGAAGCCAGGCTCGCAGACTGGGTCGCAGGAGAAGCCAGCCAGCAAGGCGGATGGACGTGCGGTGGGGATTTGTCTGATTTCAATAGCATGAATCCCCATTTAAATGATGTCCACGAAATTTCCCCTGCCAAAACTTCACGCCCATTTGATCCCCAAATACCTCTTGTGGGTGAATGGCTCCAACAACCATATAAGTATGATGCAGGCGAGAGCTTGCATGAGTGTTAAAGCTCTCAGAGTACCTGGAATTGATGGCTTGGATTGCTGGTTTAGGGACTTGAAGCGTTTCTCAGACTACTCGGGGATTTGCACCCCAACTGTGTTTCCACTAGGATTTTCCAAGTGGGCAAGTGAAGAGGACATAACCAGAATGGGCTGAAGTCGTGCCGTCGACGTTCACGCCAAGAGCTCGCAGGTTATGCCCACCAAAGGCGGTGGCAAGACCGTGGAGGGCTCGGCTTGGGAGTCGAGCAACCGGACACGAGTCAAAACCGATTTGGGTACAGGGGGTAGGGGACAATCTCCATCGGGTGACGTTAACCCTCTGGACTCCCTTGGCCTGCAAGTGGAAGTTAGGGCACTTAGAGGTGAGGGGAGGTGGATTGTTTGGTGTAGAATCCTATGACACTTGCCACTTCATTTCCTTCATTGGCGTTTCAGCCCAGCCGGCCAGCATGTGGCGTCGATGAATCCATTTGAGCTCCTTGCTCTAACTCTTTCACAGCTCATTTCATTACTCCCCATATGAGTGTTTGAGCTTGCCCCCAAATTTCGGTCATGCGTTGCTTTCTTCTGTTCCAGATTCAACAACAGCAGCGACAAAAGCAGCAAGCACTCACTTCCAGCCACGTGAGCCGCGGAACTTCCCGCTTTGAGCGATCTGCCGGGATCGCCTTCGCCATGGACGCTGCGAAGCTGGCGGTGGAGGGCCAAAGTCTGCTGCAGCGGGTGAAGCAGGCGTTCCAAGAGCTGCCGGAGCCCTTCGGGGACGTGACGGGTGTGGTGTTTTCACCACCCCAAAATTGAACCAACCCCCAAACAAGGGTATCGACTCCAACAAAGAGACACCCTCGTCCTTGCTCACGGCAGTTTCTGTAGGTAATGGGTCTTTCTGACAGGTGGACTTAAGCCCAAGGGTTTTGCTTCCCAAAGAAACACTATGGGCTTTTGAGTTTTACACGCACAGGGCAATGAAAAACGGAACTCGTCCCGGGTTCTCCGCAGTTTCTTTTGCTTCTTCCGCCCTTGGCGGGATTTTGCCGTGGTTTCGCGAGGGAAGCCAAGGAGAGGAATGCTTCAAGGGAGGACAAAGGGAAGGACAAAGGGTGGAGAATAATCATGACAAAGAGGCCGCGTCTTTCGGTCATGGTAGCAAAGATTGCTGTGGCCATTGAGAGGATGTAGGAGACCCTTTGGTGCATGCAACGTTTGGGTGAGGAATACCAGGACCCCTCGAGCCATGGCACACGGTACAAACAACACAAACACACAAACACCCACACACCCACAACACACACACACACACACACACACGTGCGGGGGTTTCTCACATCCACACACACAATATCATTGCTTAGAGGGTTTCATGGCCATGTCTATGACACGCACACACACACACACATACACATAAGCTTGTTATATCCATATCCTTGTACGGACTTATGTACAGTACCCGTATACGGCACATGCAAGCCTATGACTATGTACATACATACACATACACACATATGTACATATATATATATATTATCATACATAATCATATTTACACATTAATGGCACAGGGTTTCTCTTCGAGATGGCCGTATGTTGACTCGCGTGGTTTTTCTGTCATCCACGGGATGAAGCTGGGGGTTTGGATAGACCATCGGTTGACTTCCACTTGGTTTCGCTTGCTAGCCATGACTCTCCCCCAAAATATCAGGTGAGCCGCTCCCAACATGTTGGGACCCTCCCAACAGGAGAAGTCCGCGTAACCCAATCTGAAGATAGGAACTTGGGTTCCCCTCAAACGGGTGCCCTCAGAAACGACAGATTCAACCGGCCAAATGAAGGAGGAGTGTCCCCTGCGGCAGCCGGCGCAGCTGCGGAATGGCCTTCGCGTGGATGACTGGCTAGGCTTGGGAATTCGTGAGCGGCCTAAAGATGCTACCCCTCAAGATAAGGGGAACCCTACCAACATGAAAAACCCAACAGGATAGGGAATTTTGTTTTTTTGTTCGGTTTTGGCAGGTTGCGACCTCAGGGCTACGAGCTTGGTGACTCGCCGTGGACCGGGTTGGATGTGGTTGACATGGGGTGTGTCTTCGTTGCCGGAATATTTTTAATAAACACCTCCCATTTTTTCTTGGACATGACAGACCCACGTTGGTGGATCATGGTTTTAGAGGGATCAATCCTAGGCTACAATCTATCTAATAGGTTGGACATCCAGTTTGGGTTTGGGTTTCCAACTCAAATGGTGTGATGATTGGGTGTGAAATATAGTATCTTAGGGTGAACAACACTTCACAAGAAACCCCGCATTTCCTCATCGAGCCAAAACCACGTATATGTTTGCTTCCAAACCTTGCCAAACTAGCCAACACAAAAGTTAACGGAGGCCTCATTTTAGTTTGTCTCAAAGCAGGGGAACCCCCAACATTTTTGGCTTCCTTTTGGTTCAAACCGACCCGAAAAGGACACGGAGCCTCAAAAAGAACAACCCAAGCTCAGACCTGTCGCTGGCTCGAGGGGCGGTTGGCGCTTTGCAAGCGCACGGAGGCCTCTTGGAGCACGTGCTGCAGCAGGGCGTGCCGGAGGTGATCGCGCCCGGGGCGCGCTTCGCGCTGGACGTCTACGGCTTGGACGCCACTTTGGAGATGGAGGGCCAGGACTGGCGGCCTCCCCGATAAAAGACCGGGCACCCCTTGGTTGGTTGCTTCCAAGGGGAAGCCAAAGGGAAACCCAGGATTTTGGGGAAGCTCCCCCTAAAAACAGACACCAAATGTTGTGGTTCTTCGTCAGTGGGTCTGGGTCAAAATTGAACTGCTGGACTATTGATATGTGTCAAAATAGGGACTCCTCGCAACATGGTTTTCGGGTTTCTGTTTTTGGTCTTCCTTTAAACCACGGTCAAAAGGGTACCCTCAAAAAGACACGCGTCCAAATGTCCTGGTTTTGCTTCAAAGCATGGTGAGTGATGCCCTTTTAGGAAACAAAGCAATTCTGTCCATTGCTCAGGTTTCGATTGTATTCACCTGAGTAATACACGGAAGGACAAAATGCCCCAAGCAACAACCGCTTCCCCATACAATGCCCTGCAATGCCTTCTTTTCTGGGCGTTGGATATGTGCCACGGTCCAACCACCCTTTCACTTGAGGTGGGTAGGAATAGTCTTAGTCACATCTAGACAACCCTGATAAGGATTCCTGTCCTTTCTCCGCGGTACCATGTTTCAGGTTGGTGAACAGCTAGACTTATAGCGCCAGTTTGAAGGCTATTCGCAGGTGCCATGTGTGAACCTTTCGTATCGTAGACGGTTTTAGGACATTTTCATTTGCTAGCCACCACTTGCAGCCGCGGACGCAACTTTGCGGGAGCGTTTGGACATTATTGGAAGAGCTCCAAAACCCATACTGATCCGTAAATGAGAAGCGCCCAAAAGCCCTTCGTTGGCCATTTCACGAGAGGGTTCTACCTGTTTGTTCTAATTGGGTTTACGTGAAGGCATATCAAATCCTTAATCATAGAACCAGTAGTCAAGTAACCCACTGGCTGGCTGTTTGTGGACGCATTGCAAATGAGGTTTGGCATTTCTGAATTTTGCCACCAACCCAGGGCTCGCTCTTCTTTTTTTTTTTTTTATCTGCCCAAGAAACGGGGTGGGGGGGGGTCCATGCGGCCGACGGGTCAGGACGTCCAGGTGCATTCCATGGCCTCGGAGCCGACGTTCTTCGGGAACTACGCGCCGCCGGACGACCTGGACGGGCAGATCATCGATCTGGCCCCGGGGGGAGGGGGTGCGCGGGGGAGGCAGGGTTCCGTTTTTGTGCGCTATTTCTTTTTGGTAGACTTAAATCCAGCGGTTTCTCTTTTTGGGGAAATCAACCCGTGCGTTTAGGTCCAGTTTGGGGTTGTCCCAAAAAATGGAACCCTGGGTTCAGGTTTGGGGTGGATGTGAGGGTGTCAGTGTTTGCGTGAGTGCGGGGTGGGCTGTTAGGAGGATTGGAATTGCTTTTGGACAAATGTTTGTCCAGGTTTCCTGGTTACAAGGGTTCCACTTTTGGATTGCTCCAAGGTAGAGTTGAGAGAGTGGGGGTTGATGTTGTGGGCCGATCGTGTGAACTTGGGTGCCAGTTTGCGTACCAAGCGCCTTGGTGGATCCCCTGAAAGTGATAGTGAGGTGATAGGCATGGGACCACATTGGCCACAATAACAGGTGGACCGGGCAGCCCTTTGCCCTTTTCCACATCCTGGGTTGAAGAAAAGCCAAGTCCGTGGATCGATCCCATCAAGCGACGCTTCTCTGCCAGAGAAGAGTTTGGGGAGCCCTATTGTGGATTTGCCAGACCGCCCGCAAAACGGTTCCTTTAGTCAACTGCTGTGGCTCAAAAATATGTACCAACATGCTAAAACCTGCGTAACCCTAGCGCTCTCATTTTGGAGCCACACCCAACGGCACCTGGTAAAAGCTAAAACCTGCGTAACCCTGGCTCTTTAATTTTTGAGCCACACCCAACTTTTTGTTTTGAGTTCTTGTTGTTTTGTTCGCAGAGCTTCCTGCCGACAGGTGGCCACCCGCTCCTCCGCGTGTCTGCGGCTGCAGCCTCGGGCCCTGCACTTCGGGGAAGACCTGGCGCGGCACGCGGAGGCACAGCGAAGCCGGCTGCGGTCGCGCGTGCGGTGGTGGGTGTAGGCCCAAAGACGACTTCCCCGGTTTCTTGTTCCTGTGCAGATCCACATGGAAGTCAACAAGTTGGCTTTTTGCTCTAGGACCAGATGATGCCTCTAAAGAAACAGTTTTTGTTTTTTGGGCAGGAGTGGTCCGCAGCAATGCCGAGTCTACCATTGCGAAACTCGACAAGTGGACTGCCTTTTCTAGCTTCAGGCTATCTGGGCAAAATGAATTCGCGGCACCTAGGGGCTGGGAGTCCATCTATCAGTTGCCCAGAATGCATCGCCAGACTTGTCAACCATCCTTGATTTTCCCGCTCAACCAGCAACGTAAACCACGTTTAAAGCAAGGCTGGCTGACGTGATGCGGGGGCCCGTGCTTTTTCCAACCATCTCCAACTTGCTCTTTTGGTTTGAAGCTACCATGTGTCCAACGTGGCCAGAGTTAGCAGAGTCTCCAGAGTTCAGGTTTAGATTCCTACTCTTTTTTCCATATAGCACCCAAAGACAGGGCCTTCAGTCATCATCAATTGGATCAGAGTCATGTCGCACCAGTTGGTAGTGGTTTG